ATGCCTCGAGAAAGTGCAATTACAAGGCCAAGTGTTACAGTTGTAATGCATACAAAGAAAAAAAAGTGAGAAGCAATACTGTTGTTGCATCCAAGCCTGCATGTAAGAGATATGAAACTGTATTTTGACATTGTTAGCCAACTACATCTTGTGTTGCAGAAGTGTGGTTGGAGGTGAAGAAGGGAAGATAAAATATAAATGGATCTTTTACTTTTCATGTTTTTAATCTCAAATTGATAGTTTGCAGGCAACTGTTTAAAGAGAACAAAGACTTTTATATGCAGTTGTGACACTGAAGAAAAAGTTCTTTCAGAAAGATTGTTTGTACTTTAAAACACAGATAATTTTGGTAATGTCCAAGGCAATCTTTGTTTTTCATACCAATGGACTAATGTGACATGTTCCTTTATAGTCCTCTCTTGGAAGTTATGAACTGTTGATCCAGAATTATTCTATGTAATGATTCCTCAGGTACCGATTCTTTAAAATCTAAATATTTTCAGTGGAAAATGTACATGTAGTACTTTCTTCTTATATAATATTTTTTCCAGTGACAAAATTTTATAGTGTCTGGATGCAGTGATGATGCAAATGAGGGCTACAGTATTTAGATATGTATATTGCAATGTAAAATGTTATTTGCTTTAATTAAGTCTCCCTTTTGTATTTTCCTCCCTCCTTTTTCTGTTTTTCAGTTCCAGGTGACTTAGGTAATCAGTTGGAAGCAAAGTTGGATAAGCCATCAGTAGTGCACTATCTCTGCTCTAAGAAGACAGACAGTTATTTTACACTCTGGCTGAATCTGGAATTGCTTCTGCCTGTCATCATTGATTGCTGGATTGATAATATCAGGTAAGACCAGAAACATTGCTCTTTGCAGTTAGTGCCTTTCCTCAGGCTGACTTGCAGAATGGCTGCCTAAATTCTCTTGTTTGATTCAAGACTAGTGAGAGAAATGGCTTGGAATTCTGCTGGGACTAACAGGAGTGCTCTGAAGGTGTGGCTCTGTGTCTGAGCCAGCTGTTCTTCGCTGATGAGGAGCAGAGGTTCTCTTGGCTTCTACTTTCTCTCCTACCAGTTACCCAGTGTAGGTTTGAGCACTTCTCAGGCACCTCTGTGAGCTTTCCTCAAGAGAATGTTTTCTGCTCTTTTTGGAGCCAGGCTCTTCTTGATGCTGCCCAGCAACAGGACAAGAGGCAATGGGCAAACTGATACCTGGGAAGTTCCACCTGAGCATGAGGAAGAACTTTCCTGTGCAGTGACTGTGCACTGGGACAGATCACCCAGACAGGGTGTGGAGCCTCCCTCACTGGAGATATTCCAGAACCATGTGCTTTAGGGAGCCCCTGCTTGAGCAGGGAGGTTGGAGCAGATGACCCACTGGTCTCTTTGGGTCCTGCCCGTTCTGTGATGAATTCCTGAGGTTTGGATGAGGCAGGGGGAAGGAGGTACCTCGGGCAGCTCAGAGGGGACAGGCAGGAGGAATGTGAGCTTGTGCTTCTGCTGGCACTGTGTCATTAGCAACAGACTCCTGGGCAGCTGAGACCAATTTCTACCACTAGATAAATGGAAATGACTGGTTTGGATCACATTTCATGGAATATTCTGAGTTGGAAGGAACCCACAAGGATCACCAAGTCCAACCTCTGGCCCATACAGAGTCTGAACCCACAACCTTGTGTTATTAGCAGATAGGGTCCTTTACAGGCAGCCCTAGAAGTCTCTTTCCAGAATTATTTTGGTTTAAAAAATTGCCAATTTGAAGCTTTCAGACTATTTCATCATGCAGTCTGCTTCATTGATCTTCCTCTAAAAATATTACAAATATCACTACAAAACCAAGGAATATTTAGCTTGTGCATTTTAAAAATATTGAATTGGCATGTTGCTCTTTAATGTGAATGTACTGAGTTGTAGAACAGTCTGCTTTGTCTTGCTATGCCTTACAGATTAGAGGAATTTTGTTGTGAGAAGGTCTGAGTGTCAGTTTAGATTCTGAGACTCCATCGAGAGGTAAAACTCGCGTTCAGAAATGGCAGTTGTATTGATATGGTATTAAAAACAAACAACCCCCCACCTATAATAATAGTGATTAAAAAAAAACCCCAACTCCTGACCCAATGCTCCAGATTCTTCATATCTCAAGGTCATTTGAAAAGTATTCACAAAACACTTGATACCTCACTACATTTCCTGAGATACTAATAGTAATTAGTCAAGAAGTAAAGTGTTCCCTTATGCTGGTATAGGTGTTCCTAGTTAAACAGAAATTAATTATTTTTAGCTAGGAGAATACTTTTGATGCCTGATTTTACAGGTATTTTATCTCCTACTGCCACAGTCTTGTGCTCTTGGCAAGTTTTCTCTGTTATGTGGCTTGATGCAAAGTCAAGTGGTACAGAACAAAGTAGCTCATATTCTAAAGCTGAAATTCAGCCACAGTTCCATATGCTCAGTGTTACAGAGAAGAAAAGCCTTAGATTCTGAATGTAAAGCATTTGAGTAATTAAAATAATTGATTGCATTGTATAAGCTGTTAGCCATTAGAGCACTCTGATCGTGTCTGCCTGGGTTGTGTTTTATCTCCTGAGTAAAAGCACTTGAAGTTCTTGTCCTGCACTCAGAATGTGAGACCCAGTGCTGCTGAGAGGTCTCATGTGGAAATACAACAGGTTTCATGGGGTTTTTTCTCTATTTTTTTTCTTCCCCCCCTGCCCCAGGCTGGTGTATAATCGAACAAGTAAGATTACAGAACCACCGGATGGAGTGGATATCAGAGTCCCAGGATTTGGGCAGACATTTTCCTTGGAATTTCTTGACCCGAGTAAAAGGAGCGTTGGTATGTACGAGGATTGCTCTTTAGGGAGCTGCAATGTGCTTAATGATCTGCACCAGATGAGCCTTATAACTAGAATAGGGTCACCTTTAAAGTTCTCCACTTCAGGGACTGTGTAATAAACATCCAAGACTAATGAGTGAGGTTCTGCTCAAAACTTAGATATGACTGTGATGCTCAGTAGGATGTTACAACCCTTTCTAGATGCATTTAGTTGTGGTAATGCCTAAATCCTATGTGTCAAAGCTTGTAATATGTGACATCTTTCAATATGCAGTCTGTAACTGTTTCCCTTATTTGCTATTAAAATGTTATGTTCAGTTACTTCAGTCTTAGTCCTCTACTTGAGAGATATAAAAATAGTTTTGTGGTAGTTTCCAGAATTCTGCCCTGGGATACAAATGCTGTAAGCATTTGTTTGCAAGAATAAATGTTGAAGTCCAGGCCAATCTTTATGAATGTGTATTATACCCTACCTGAAGTTAATTGGCAATCAGCAAAAGTTAGGACTCTAATGTAGTAACTTCTGAGGTGTTTTCTTTACAGTTCAGGAGTAAACTTTTCTCTACTGAGTAAAATTTATCCCCTTTATGTATACTAGATTTTGCTGCCAAAATTTTTGAGAGATCAGCCACCGAGTAAGAAGTGTTAATAGCAGCATTCTCTTGATTTTGGGGTATAGTAGGCACATCTCATTTTGTTTAATGTGCACGTAGCTTCCTGCAGTTTTAATGTCTGCATATATGGTATCAGAGGTAAAGCCTCCAAAGGGAGTTTGTTTGTAACACTAACCTTGTTACTGTTCTGTTTTTCTCTTATCTGTTGTCTACAGGAAGTTACTTTTATATGCTGGTGCAGAGTTTGGTAGACTGGGGCTACAAACGTGATGAAGATGTAAGAGGAGCACCTTATGACTGGCGAAAGGCACCAAGTAAATAACATACTGTTACTTGAACAAAATTTTGCCTCTCCTAGCCAGCAACTATGTTTTGAGTCTTTTCTCCCATCCTATACAATCATACTTAATTTTGACTGGTTCTTGGGGCCTGGGCACTCCAGGACCCAGACGTGAGCTCATTGTTGTGATTTCTTTTTTTTTTTTTCCTCTTTAAACAACTCGCCACTTAAAACTTCCTTAAAAACAGAGCAAAACAACAGAAACCCCCCACACTACCAAAGCACATGTCCACAAACCCCACCCTCCTCCCACTTAATATTGGAATTTCTAAACTCTGTAATATTAATTCCATAGACAGTTCAAAACACTTTTATTTAAAAGTTTATGGTTTTAAAGTTTAGCATTCACAATTAATAATTCTAACTGTAATCTGTATGTTTTAGATGAGAATGGAGACTATTTTGTGGCACTTCGCAAGATGATCGAGTTAATGTATGAGCAGTATGGAAGTCCTGTTGTCTTAATTGCCCACAGTATGGGTAATATGTACACCCTGTACTTCCTCAACCAGCAGACTCAGGATTGGAAGGACAAGTACATCAAGGATTATGTGTCACTGGGCGCTCCCTGGGGAGGGGTGGCTAAAACTCTCCGTGTGCTGGCCTCAGGTGGGTACCCAGGGCTGTGCACAGTGCATGGTCCTAAACTAGCCTGGGAACTCTGAGACTGGAGGAGGAGAGGTTAAGGTACTGCAAAGGTAAAAATATTTTTCATAAGTGATGACAACTTGCTGTGTCAAGCCTTGAGACCAGACTGTCATTCTTCCTCTTTGTGAGAGTGGACTGAATTTGTCCCCATCCTGTAACAGGAGCTATGTCCCCTCTTGACCCCTCCTGGCCTCTTTTCTGCAGATTGTTCTGTCATCTGCTGTTTGGCCTCATGCTTTCTATTTCTGTCACTTCTGCCTCCAGCCTGATTGCTCTGTTCAGGATTGCAAAGCTAACAGGGGCTCCAGAGCATTCCAGAGTTTCCTTTGATCCAGGATCACACAGCTGCCTGAGGTTAACATTAGAGGAAACTTAAGACATGGCAGTGAAGTGGTGCCCACAGTGTAAATGGCAGGTGAAATTTGTAACACTGCTGACTGAGGTCTGGGATTTAGCACACTGGATATGCTTGAGACAAAAAAAAAACTGACTAAAGAAGCATAACGTATTACACTGATTAACTGCAAATGACTGATGGAAAATGTTCACTTACCCCATCATGTGATACCATAATGATGTCATGTGCTTTGGCATTTAGTTCTCGATGATTCTGGTTTGGTTTTGTAGCTTACTTCTGACTTGTTAGCTTTGGATATCACTATCTTCTCCCTAATCAAAGCTGACATGAAAAATTTGACTTCATCGAAATGCAAAACACACAGCAAGTGTCAGCCTTGCATGGACAGAGCAAAGAATACTTTGCTTAGCAAAGGCATTTGAGTCTGAACAGTAGTGCACTGCTCTGTAACTAATTAGAAAACTTAACTCAATACAAACATCCAATTTACACATTGTTAAATGTGTTGCAATGGCACTGTAAAAATTGATTTCCCTTTTCCCACAGGCTTCATCTGACATGTTTGCATGCTACAGAAATGGCAGGAAGTAAGCAATGTTAATATCAGCTGTATAAAATTATACATGATTATATAAAATTCCATTTTATATAATGGATTTCTGTTGGATTAAACTTTTGTGCTTTGTACCTTGTTTATCCTTTATAATGCATTTCATCCAAAATGGCTAGTTATACATAATGAATAGTTAAATTTCTACTGAAATGTAGTCATATTCTCATCTGTATGTCTGTTGTACTGAAGTCCATGTTTTTTGAGCAGAAATTTAGGAATCATGTAGGAAAGTTAAACGGGCAGTACCTAATCTCAGAGTGCAGTTTTAGGCTAGTCCTATCTCTAATACCTGTAAGTAAGGCACCACCATCAGGCATCAACACCTGGATTACATTAGTCTATTAAAGAGTTTCTAAGGTTAGCAGGGTTAGTATGTAGAAGAATTGTTGCTTTAAAGAAATGCTTTAAATTTCTGCAGGAAAGACAAGGCATGCTATGAATGCATTCTTTCTGCTCCCATTCCTGTTTATAACATGTAATGGCCAGGAACTTCGTGTCACATCCAGTTGTGTTATCAAAGTGGTAAACAGGACACGGTGGAATTATTTGCAGTAGATTTTCTGTGATACTTTCAGCTCCTTATTCCTGTGCTTTGCAGGCTCAATACTTGTATCATTACAGTTGCAGTGCCAATAAAGTGAGGATGTTCTTCCTCCTACAGCAGGCAAAGGCACAAAGTTCCCTGTGGTGGCTTGGTTCTATTTTTTTGTCAGGTTGAAATACGAGCAGTGTCTTCCTTAGACCTAATATTTTGTTCACTATAATGTGAGTGTTGTGCCTGCTGACTTAATTAAATGTGGTCTTGGCCACATGGTAGGTCCTCACTTCAGAGAAAAGTACTTGATAAGCACTTTGTACCAGTTCTGTAAGAGAAGGCTGGAATAGTCAAATTGTGTTTGATTATTCGACTGGAAATAAATTTTGTGCACATTCCTCTTATTGTTCAGTTCAAACTCGGACTTTCTTTGCTGAGAACTGCCAAGCAGTATCCAGTAGCTTGGTGGTGGGAGTGCACAGTTGAGTACTGCTACCACACAGTAATATGAGACAGGTTTTTTGGGACCTTGGTGATTCTTGCTGTGCTCTTTGGAGTTTCCTTTATCTGTTTCAGACTTATACCAGCGACATCTCCATGTACTCCTCCTAAAGATGCATTAAAGATTGTGCTTTATGTCTCCTTGCTGAAGCACTAGTGCCACCTTATGGAATTGAAATAGCACCAGAGTGTATTTTCCAGGAATAGTGGTTTTGGTTTCAGCACTTCAATTTTTATAGCATGGTTGACCTGGACCATTACATGCTGTAACCACCCAGACCTAATAATGGATAATCTGATTCAAAGTTCAGCTGACAAAGGAATTGAGGTGTGCCAGCCAGGGTGATGGTGAAAACAAGAAAAACAAACTTCAGTCTGTGCATAAACTGGTAAAATGCTATGCCAAATGGTAAATAAACAATTTGTAGCTATCCTGTATGAAATATTGCTGCTCTACTTGTTTTCAATGTAGAAAACTTTAAACATTTTCTTAAATCTATAAAGTTTCTTCATGAGTTCCCACAAGTGTGTGGACATTAATATTTGCTTATTCTTGAAGCAGAAACATGCTCTAGGTACCAGAAACACTGTAAAACACATTTCCAGAAAAGCATTTAAGATAAAACCTGCCAATGGTCTAAATAATGCCTAATAAAATCTGATTTCTTACTTGGCCCACACAGGAAATATTTCACCCTTTACAAAGGGGCATATTGGAGGGGCAGCAGTGTTCTTGGTTTAGTTTTTCATCAACTTTTATTTATATTGGTAAGTTTTTAGAGGTTAGTCTACAGAAATTAATTATGAAGGCCATCATAAACAAGGAAAAACTTTTCAAGTTGTCACTGTAAGCAAAGGGACCAAACGTTTTATCTGTGTTATCGCTGAGTGCTAGTAATTGCTGCCGATTGAGGTTTATGCTTTGCTTTATGTATAATGGAATTCCACTCTTTTTTCTAAGGTGACAACAACAGGATACCCGTTATCAGTTCACTCAAGATCAGAGACCAGCAGAGATCGGCAGTTTCCACAAACTGGATGCTCCCCTACAACTACACGTGGCCTCCAGACAAGGTGTTCGTGAGCACCCCCACGGCCAACTACACCCTGCGGGATTACGGGCGGTTCTACCGCGACATCGGCTTCGAGGACGGCTGGTTCATGCGGCAGGACACGGAGCCGCTGCTGTTCCACATGGCCCCGCCGGGCGTGCGCATCCACTGCCTGTACGGCACCGGCGTGGACACCCCCGACTCCTTCCACTACGAGAGCTTCCCCGACAGGGAGCCGCGGATCCTCTACAGCGATGGCGATGGCACCGTGAACCTGCAGAGTGCCCTGCAGTGCCGCCGCTGGCTGCGCAGGCAGAAACAGGAGGTGCGGCTCTTTGAGCTGCCGGGGAACGAGCACATTGAAATGCTCTCCAACGACACCACCATCTCCTACGTGAAGAAGCTGCTTTTTGATCTGTGAGAACCTTGTGTCGATAGTTATTTTCCTCACCTGGGATGCCTTCCCTTAAATATGGGAAAATGCCTTTTAATCCCCTGATATTTAGATATTTGAATTATTTATTTTTCTTTTTTTAAAGGTTGTGTTCAAGAAGTCGTTTGATGTCCTAAATGTTGTTTGTCTCTGATTTGTGTTTATGATGCTTCATGGTATTTTCACATTCTGCAGATTTGATCAAATATGCATTTTGGTGCCTGTGGTGTTGTCCAGTGTTCACACAGACCTTCCTGCAGAGATCGTGCAGCCCCTCACACGTACGGCATGGAACCATAGGTACCCGAGTCCTTTGTTTGGTCTGTGCAGGTTTGGATGGGAGGTTAGGAAGGATTGCAGTTTTGGATGCCCATAAAACAAGAGAACGATATTAACAATTTGGAAAGCACAGAAAACTTTTTAAAGGGTCTTGCATGTTCTGATCCCCAGTTCCCAGTACCTTAGTTTGTAAATGTACATGTCTATGAGGTAAGACAGGGAACAGGCCTGCCTGGAACTGTGTTACTGTTGTTGAAATCCAACTTTCTTTTGCTACAGCTTTTGGGGAAAAAAGATAATGTGGGAATTACTTGAAGATTCTTTATTAGCTATCCTTCTGGGTTTTTTTTTTCTTTTTTTAAAAGAAATTGTTTGCTCATTAACTTGTAGAACCCTGATTACATACAGTCTGGAGTCTGAGGAATTCTCACCCTGTGCTTTATTTATCAGTGGGGGAATGATGCTAAACTGGTTGGTGCCTGTAATAACTGTAGCTGTGGGGAGTAGCACATAAATCAAAGCTAATTGAATACTGGCAAGCAATCCATACAGTGTGGAATTACATTTCTGGGTGAAAAACGATCTCCTGTAGTGGAAATGGTAATGGATGGTGGGCAGGATTTCAAAGAGAAGTGAACTTCCTGAAGTGGGGTGGGGAATGGAAGCCAGCATGATGCCACGTGGAGTATAAACCTTGCTCTCAGTCAAATACTTCATCTCTGACCCAGCTACTGACCAAGCAGCAATTGGATCAACATTGCACTCCACTGAAAAGAAACTTTTTTGGTTTAAGACTAAAAGTAATTTCCCATTATTTTCATTATTGCTGTTTCAAGAAGTTGGGATATGCTGTTCCTTAAATGTTTCTATAAATTGCTGAACATGCAAATCTGTTAATTTCCTACAGTATTGTTTTACTCAATGTTAAAAAAGAATAATTTCAACTCTGACATCCACAGAAGTGCTGGCCTAAGGGCCATCATATTTACAACCTTGATTACAGAAGTCCTGTTGGAGAAATAGTGTCACCCAGAGATTCTCTTTTTCTTGCTTTAAAACCAGTCACCCAGTTAGACTGCACTTAGTTTTCTGAAAATGCAATTTAGAATGCTTTCAAAATGCTAGGTTCTCCAAGAAAAATGTTTTAATAGTTTCAGAAACTCATCAAGTTATTAAGGACTTACTACTTAAGAAACTGAAGTTGTCTAAAGGGTCAAGTTTTAACTATTTTAATAGCATGCATAAAATGTTTGCTACCACTGGACATATCAGTAGGATGTGTTGAAATGATGGGCTTGAACTCTTGTTATTGTGGAATGGAAACATTTTGGGAGGTTTAAGGTAGGTTTAAGGCTTTAAGTTTTAATTCAGAAATCTCTAAAGGCAGAACAACTTGAACTAAGGTCATCAATGAGCTAAATGTCTTCCTAGGTTTTAACTTCCCTACGTAACTTTATTTCCCCCCTACCCCACCCTGCCCACGTTTTTTCCTGTTACTTATGTTGAGGGAATATACACATTTTCCTGATTTTTAAAATGGAACAATAATCTTACCCTCAGTTGTCCAGGAACCTACAGTTCAGCAGTAATATTGCCTAGACTTTTCCAGAGTAACTCCAAAACAAAAAAACCCCACAACAAGAAGAAAATGAAAAAAGAAAACCCACAAAACAATGTCTGTTAGCCAGGTGCTCTATTGTATGCAGGGCTGTCAGCTGGATAAGCTTCAGACTTGTGTTCCAAGACTGCTCAAAGATGATAAAGCTCCTCCTTGGTCTGACTCAATTTTTGAATAAATTGTTTATACTACTGGTTTACAACTGAAAAAATGAAGGGAAACAGCTCATTGCAGTCTGTGTTTCTTGCTGAAGTAGAATGTCTGTTACTAAGCACGGGAATGAGTGGAGC